CCGCATGGATGTCGGAAGTCGGTTTATTATACATAGTTTATCTCTAATTAAGAGTTAAGTATTATGCGACAGGGGATGAAATGACTAAAACAGGTACAGCAAGTAATGTTCAGTAATTACAGACTATGCAATTACTATACTAAAACATAAAAACCTCGCTAATCATTTGTGAGAATTTCGTGTCAAAATCAAATCATTGGATTCTAACACCGTGTAACTAATACTATCATAGTACGGACTTATGTATGTAGACAGGTTACTTTACACTTTTTATTCAGTTTAATATGTTGTTATGGTATAGGCCAGTAAAAGAGCAGACGGATCACCTGATGGTAAGCAATCGGCGTCGCCTATGGACACTCGAAACACCAGAGGTCTTACAAGTACGTTATCGGCCTTTTGGGATTTGGAATTTGAGGATTATTAGGGATTCAGGGATTGGGGAGATTGGGGAGGACGGAAATTGGGCCTTCGGTAACCTCACTCACACGACGAAACATAATGCAAGCATTGTTTTACGTCGGTTTTTTATGAGGCCGTGGTATCACTCTGGCCAAGCCATCCGATTCGTGTCGAAGCATATATAAATAAAAGTTAAATCAATGACTTTTACAACCATATTGATGAAAACATGCCTACAAAACACAAATAAAAATCGACCTTATTCTATAATATAAAGTCACAGCTATAAAATTTATGTATTTACTACATTATGATAATAATAAATAATACATTACGTAAAGTTTGAAATCAAATGCTTGTTGAAGGTCAAATCGATATCAGGTATTCTTGGAAAACCTTCAATGGAGACGTATTACTTCTTAGACCCATTTCTACTGTTTCCATGAAGTATAATCTGGATTAATGGATACAATTAATATGAAAGTGATGCTTTCCAAGAATGGACCCAAGGACCACGACTGAATCTTGAACTTGATTTTTAAGGTTCTTTGATGTTTAAGGCTAAAAGACATATGATTACTGATTAGTAATTTTTAATCCCTTAATGAGGTTTTGTAAAATTCATAATAAATCTGTATTGCTACTTACAATTGTTGTAAAAAAATCCGTGCGTTTGTCTCTAGTGATTACTGCGATTTAATCATGTATTCATTTATTTCTGTCGTCATCATTTACAGAGAACCATTTCAGAATAAACCTGAGACTGGTGACTTGTACTTAAAACCTGTACCACAGATTTCCAAGTCAACCATTGACGCAATACAATTATTTATTGAATTACATAAAGTAATTAGGTGTTTCTTAATAAACATAGTAATACAATAAAAATTAGTTACTTACTGAATGTTTTATTTTAAGAATAACGCTTCCTTTAAGTTGATTGCCTCGTTGGTCGAGTGGTCGCAAGTGCGACTGCCATGCAAGGGGTCTCGGGTTCGGTTCCCGGGTCGGACAAAGTATTACTGGGTTTTTCAAAAAATCTCAGTAGTAGCACGGAGTCTGAAATTGTGTCCGGTAGGCTCACCCATTACATGGGACTCATAACATAAATAGTAAAAAGTGGGTGTTATAGTGTACAGTGGCATAATGAGCATCTCTGCCTATCCCTTTGGGAATAAAATGCGTGATGTTATGGTTCCTTTAAGTCTGAAAAATATGATGACCTTTTTCCCAATAATGATAACCCCGCGGCACCTACTAACGTACTAAGTAAACAGATGAATTAAAAAACCATACAATACATCACACTAATAATTAAATCATAAAAGAACATAGAAAAACAATAATTATTGCTATAATCAGTCTGTCTATCAGAATTACATGGAATACATATAATCGATAATTTTTAATATCTTGTAACAACGGCTGTGATTACCTAAATACATGTTCAGATAATTTTTATCGATAATCCCTTTGAAATTGTTCACGATACAATCGATGAAAAATCATCTATTTACTTGTTATATGTGTTTTATGTTGTTATATAAGTTTATACGGTTTTAATTGGAATTACGGTTAAGAGTATTTGTTTTATTGTCACGCTATTTTTTATTTGGATTCAGGTCTTATTTTTAAAACCTTCGTTAGTCCACTGTATAAGCATCCATGTTAACAGAAGTTTTTAAAAAAAACCAACATTACAAAAAAAACATCAATAGTTTGTTTAAAGCCATGGTTTCTGACCTTATCTTCACCAAACAGCTGCCAAAAATGGTCCTTTTGGAACACTATATCTGAGATTACAGTCACATAACATGACGTCACATCTTTATTTCTAAGACTATACGACCACCATGAGCTGATATTTGTTACATTTGCATTCAAAATTCCACTCCAAAAGACCGCAGACAAGCCCAACTAAAACTCCATTACTTTTCATTCATTCCAAGAACTAATGAAGGAAATTCCAAGAATGAATATCACGCCTGAAGAAAGTGTACGGATGCAATGAAGCCATTAAGCTAAATGCCTGTGCCGGGGTATGAACATGGTACCGAGGGCATGAGCCAAATCATGACTGACCATTTCATTGATAAGACAAACATTCAATTGTTTGATATTAAGTGGGCCGCTAAGATGGAGCTTGTCAGAAAGAAGGGAATTGAATTTTTTATGGGATAAGCTAACGGCCGATTTCAAATTCCAATTTCAATTTTAGGATTAAGATCTATTTAAGAGTTGTTTGCAGTTTCTATCAAAAATCAAGATCAATTCCAAGATATTGGATTATTGAAATCGATTGTAAGAAAATACTTACATATCAAGTTAGACATAGGAAAAAATAAGAAGGAACAGTAAAGGAAATATGACGATCTATGGACTTACATAAAGATTTATACACGTCAATCACCGGATAATGAGATATGTTAGCGCATTACTGCAAAACGACTGCACCTATCTGCATGAATCACTTTTGTTGCGGGTAATAAGACTTGTATCAAAACAAATATTGACAAAATACAATGACATTCTTCAGACGTTTGATGTCAATAATATTATTCGGCTTTAGTTTATACCAGTTTACTGTGTGTTTTTATCAAAATAAGATTTGGTTGAATAAGAAAAGGTTTATATTTATTCTTTTAAAGGCCGAGAATGCACAATTCTCCTCTGGTGCAGGCGACGCTGATTACTAACCTTAAAATGATCTGTCTGCTCTTTTGCTCCCTATTTTATAAAACATACTTGTGAAAGAAAAAGTCAAATTAACAAGAAATCAAAACTTAAAAGAGTTGAATTATCGAATAAAGAAATATAATACTCCTCCATACTCCTTGCGCAACATAAAAGCGCAATTTTAACTCCCTTCCAACTTCAACTCCCACTGGATCAACACATTTGTTTATAAGCTTCGCACGATGTTTGCTCTTCCTCTATATTTAGAAACCTTTAATTAAGATTGATTGATGTATTATTCATTAGATAAGTACCACTATAGATAGACAGACAAAATGATACAAATGCAGGATATGAATAGATAGTGAAAAGGATTAAACGGATTTGGGAAATACGTGTTTTTTAAAAGACGATTGCTGCATAAGACAATTGGGATGATGACAGGGTATGAACATTTAAAATGTAATTAGTCCGTAAGTTAGGTAATGAAAAAATATTAGACACATATTTTTTTGTTTTGTCGTATAATAAAACAATACTTAGATAAAACGATTCAAAGTTTACGAGTAGGGTCTAAAACGTGATTTCTACGTATAAAACGTACGTAGAAGTGACGTCACGCGACATTTCAAATCAATATATCGCCGAAAATATTCGTTTCTGTAAGAAAATAAAAAATTATTTGTCTAATAATTTGAAATAATCTACCAGACGGACATTAAAATAAAAATTAGGAATCTACCCTATTTGAGCTTAACACTTTACTTACCAACCAACTAAAAAACATGGAAAGGTTACCCATACAGAAACAATGACAATAAGACATCGTAATAACCTAATTCCAAGACTAGAACTTATTAATGATTGTTACATTTACACCGTGAAATCTATTTCGTTTTCATCCCGCGGCAAAATAACTTGCCACAAGCACTTTGGATGTATAAAGCAAAAACTAAAAATTAAAGATGTCATTTTTATTTCAGTTTAAATATAACTTTGATCTAAATACGTACATGAACCGCTTGACGTAAATTTGTAGGCACTATCCACATCGCACGTGCCACCCGACGAGAAACACCTCTTCGAGAATAACATGGCGTGATTTTTTGATAATTTACTAGGTACCTATGAGTTTGTATGCACTTTTGACGTTTGCTTTTTGCAATGATTCAGCAGTTATTTTTTCATTTAAACATTTGATATCTTTGTAAAACTATTGTATTACCAAGACAAGACCAATTTACATCGGGACGAAAACAAAATAGATTTCACGGTGTAAACAGCTCAAACATAAATCTCTTAACACAATAATTCCTAGATAAAACTCCTCCACGATCAATTTCCACATAGAACGGGCAGATGCGCGTGAGTCACTTAGCTGGCGTTCGTGTAATTACGGTGACACTGTAATGAGGAAGTGCCCTACTAATGAATATTGACTGGTTTACCCTCATCGTGCCTATGCGCCGATTTTAAATTCATTCATAAGATTTTTTAGATTACTATAAAAATTGTAGTCATTATTTCTGATTAAGTTGGCTCGTGACTAGAAAAACATTTAAAAAACGAAGAGCCATTTATTTATACGTTGAATTGAATAAGAATTCTTAGTACTCAGTTAACTCTTCTGCCATGAAGACTCAGAGCTCACGAAAAATGGATGTTGAATATAAAACATCTTCTGCGAACCTCTGCCTTCTGCTACGACGAATAACAATCGTGGTAATTACGTAAGGTTATGTTGTAAAATAGCGCTTTGGAAGCCATTGAGGTCTATGTTCAGCAGCGCCAGTATTGTGACTGGGTTCCGCAGGGGATATTTTTTATGTGATATGAAGATGATAATGTATAAACAGTCAGCATTAAGACCTCTAAGTCCTCACTGCCATGTTTGCAATCCTAATTGTGTTCCTTCTTTCCAGGCGTAACAGCGAGTGAAGCCCTACGGAATGGCTTGTGCCAGTCACTATGGGGTGCTTCGGCCAATCGTTCAGAGCCGAGGATTGCATCACCATTACCACCGAGCCATGAGACTCCGTACCCTGTGAGAGGTAAGAATAATACCAGACTATCTTCAGTTTAAAATTCTTTATTCCAATTCCAATTCCAATATGTCCTCTGGGGTTCTTTCTCCCTTTTTAGATTATGGTAACTTGATTTCTTTTTTGTCTTATTAACACTAGAAATGTCGAAAATAGAAATGAGAAAACAAATCTATTTATATTCTTTGTTACGTATATATTTCTATAGCATGAAATACGAATAGTCTATACCTGACTACCTACTCGATTAGCCAGTAAACTTGAGACGACTCCAACAGATGTAGTACAGAAATCATGATGATTATCACGCTGTCAAGGAGGTCGGCTCAACTAATAAGGAAAACGTCAAACAAATCGGTTGATTCTTGTAACACAAACATTCAAATACCTAAACAAGAAGATAAATCTATAACCTACTCAATAGTTATTGAAAATATTGCATAAACTTACATGAAAGACGACGATGACTATTGTACTTAAAAATTCACTATCAAAGCGTCACACTACGTCACTTGATCACTTAATCCTATTATGAAATATCACTTTTCCGCCTTTTTGAGTTCACCGCCAATAATCTTCAAATTCAAGTGTTTCTCCAAATAGAGACAGATAAATCATATCTTCTGTATAAAGATAAAAATTCGCCAGCAACCGTAAATCACTCAGACACGGCTAAAGTTCAAACTGAGGGAACAAGGATTTGTTTAGGACTATCGTCTATGATAGTAAGATTATTTTGAAGTCTATTTTGATAGATCATAGAAATAGTTTACGAACTATGAGTGGTATAGATAGCTCCTTGACTTTGTGAAATACGTTTGGAATTCTTTAACTGTCGTGATAAGGTGTATTTTTTTCTAGCAAGAAGTTATCTAATGGATTGTTACGTTATCAAAATTCACTGTTTTATCGAGTAAAGACATAGAGCTAGATCGAGTTAATCATATCATCGATTTAATATCACTGAACCAAAGAATCGATTACACAGTTATTCATTTACCAAAACAACAAAAAATAATCAAGAACATAAATAAAACGCCGTCAAACTCATACAGAACTATCTATATTGCGGTACAGGCCACATAAAATGTCCTAAAACTAATACCCGACATTTAATAACAAGTAGAAACTTCAATAACATTTGGTTCCTAAATCCCACGGCTTCAGATTTGGGGTTGACACTATCTTATCAGTGAACGTCAACTGGTATCAATGGCAAAATTACGTTGTTTTATGACTTTGATTTTGGCGGTGCCACAAAGGTAAGATAGCGGCGTCGATATCCTCTATCGACAGTTTAAACGGCCATGTTATGATGCTTGTAATTTTTGTGTCGAACAAATTTGGTCTAGATAAGGTACGGATAGAGAATTAGTGTCGTGTTATTAGTTTGTTTATAACTTTATGAGCGGTAGCCATCTTGTGTGACGCGGTGTTAGCTTCGGACTTGGGTGATTTGGTTATTTTCCCTTTGATGTTATGGAAAAAATAAACGTATAAGGTTCGTGGTACGATAAATCTAGAAGTACTAAGTCCTTTTTTGGCCGTACGAATTAATTAAAAACAGTAACACAAATTCCGTAGCACTCGCGTGACTGATAAGATAAAATATTGAACCTGAAGTTTGGTAAAAAATGTTTTCCTTAATAAACAAAATAATTAATTTTTTGCCTAAACTATACTAGAGCTCAAATTTCATTGACCTTCTCGACTTTTCCTCCATACAATTTCCCATTAGGTAAGCATTCAGTAATAGAAAAAGACAAAAATAGTTTTCTTAACAACTTCCAATGATAGCTACTGTATTTTCACCGTTTACCAGATAGGGCTAGTGTGAACCTCTCATTCTTCATCCAATAGGGAATTAGTTAGTATTAAATCATTGGCCGTTCAATATTTGACAGCGCTGCTTTTATTGGACCCTTGCTTGCTACATTGGCGCCATCTAGTGACCAAGAATAGGATAGCCCCTATAAATTAAACCATGAAAGAGTAGCCACGAATGTCTCCATCACCATACCTCTCCTTACTGTGGCTATAGAGCTATTAAAATAAGTAATAGCGTTAGACAAAACTTTGATATTTTTAGTTGTTCATTGGTGGAGTTCATGAAGATAACGACTGATGTTGTTACTACTAATTGATGGATAAGAGCAATTAACATATATGACAACATTAAAGTATTGGGTATAACCTGTTAGGATATGTTGATTTGATTTTGTTGAAGTGGTGGATGTGGTTGAATAATAGATAATAGCTTGTTATATTTCGTAGTTTTATTAAAAATCACACAGAAAGCACATGATGGGCGCCATGCAGACGACAAAAGGGAAGAATACAGATGATATATCGACGTCTATGAGAAACTTGCCAACTTAACACTAGATGGCGCTACTTATATTATTTAACTTAATAAAATAAGTTCTTTAGAGCCCAATATCTTATAACAGCATTAAGTCCGCTAATTTCACTGAATGTGCAATAAATTTTAATAAATAAATAAAATAAACTCAAAACTGTTGCTGACTCTCCAACGAACCACACAGTTGTATGGGTGTTGTAAATCCGATTTGGACATGTGTACCCTCGTTAGCAAACATAGCTGGGTAGATAACAGCCAGTTATGTTAACCAACGGATCGTGTGGTTGGTTCCAATAAAACATCTTGCTTTAACATCATTTTTCGATTTACGATATTCTTATGTTTAGATAGAGAGTTTGGAAAAGGCAGTCAAGAATAATAGGCCTAAGAAAACTATTTAAGTTTTGTAATGTATTTACTGACTGTTTTTCTACGAATCTCAAGATGTGCTGACTTCAATTTTTCCTGGTAAACCTGTAGATAAGGGAATTGAAACCACGACTACTGATGAATTTGAGGAGGATAGGTTTCTTTATATGGCAAACTATTAATTAGCATTAGAATTCAAAGTGAAAATGTTACGTTAACACATTGAACGCCATGAGGGTCACCGGTTACCGGCGTTAGCGGAGGATTTACCTTCAACAGTTTTTTATTGGCAGTTAAAGACTTAAAAGACCAAATTAATCAACTATGGTTATAATTTTTTAAACAACTTGTGCTTATTAAATGAAAAACTTCTAAGCCTGAAATAAGAATGTGTCTGCACATTCAATAATTACTTAACAGCATATGGCACAGAACACAAACAAAAGGTAAATAAAAAACGCGTATCATTACAATCAAGTGCAGTTCTACGTAAAATCAAGAGACGGTCAACCCTCCAACCGCGTCATGCGACTCTAAATGACCAAACAGCCAACTTTAACCACAGTCCGCGATCAATCAAAGGGTAAAATTCGTGCCAGGTATAACCGTCAATATTTGCCAAGCGGTCACGACACCGCTTTACTGTTTACTCTATTATTCACTACACTGTTTGCCAAGTTCAGCCAAGTCGCGCCAAGTCTTGATAACCTTTGTTGGCGTGACTTTTGCTCGTGGCAATTGTTTGATATTTGTCTCTCTGGACATTATTCCGTTTCGTAATTTGTTTGCCAAGCTTGGCAGGGTGACTAATCTCGAAATCTACTGGCTACTCTGTTTGTTCAGCGAGGCTTTCATGTTGAATTAAAAAGTAGGCAAAATACTTATCAGGCATAATTAATCTTTATGAATCTAGAAGTAAAATATTCAGGATTTATACCAAAGACCTAGTTTGTACAAGACAAATAAATGCGGGTTTATGAGGCTAAAGCACCAGAAACATTGTAATATTAGCCTTTTTTTTTCAAACAATCCATGTTTTATTAGCAAGCATTAAGTTTGTGAAATTAACCTCAATCACACACGAGGTGCCATTAAAAAATAAACCTTGTAAACTGTCCATAATCACAAATCTTGGCGCTTTGTTGGCTGGCAATTATCAAACGAGAGTTTAATCTCAAAGACACCGCAGTTTCGTAAACGTTTACAGACAAACAAACAGTCAAACGGCATTTGATTTGACGGATGACATGGTAAACTGTGCTTTAATCTTGAGTTGCTAGGGTTGGATATGTGTCCGTGGTGGGGACTGCACTTTTAAGTTGGTATGCATCACAAATATGAAGCGTGCTATTGTTTCAGCAAATAATTCCGAGAAACATTAAGAAGAGAAATCGGGGCACGTACACAAAGGCGCCGCCGAGATAACGCAGGGTCACCCTAGAGTTGATAACCTTATTAAGGTAGAGGTTAATGAATAAAAGACTTAGAAAAACCGAACAAATGAGAAATGGTGTGCTCTTTAGGGCCATGATTTGCTTTTGTGATTTTTGAATGTCAGTTGTAGGGTTAAGTTTATTCATAGTGTGTTATTAAACATCTTGGTTTTTATAAGAACTATTTTATATCATTGCATAATTATTAATTGATCAAGTAAGTAGCAGATAGGGATTGCAATTGCTGGATCCAGCATACAGCAATTCAGCTGGATCCAGCGCCTTTTTAAACATGCTGTATCCAGCACACATCTTGATCCAGCAATGAGGATCCGCAAACGTATCAATTTCTATTGTTTAGTTTTGAGTTGCCCCCATTTTCGAATCGGCGCGGCAACGTTGCCGTTCTGACACCATAGCACGTGCGGGTAGCAGACAATGAAGGACGTTTATGACACTGTCGCAAATTCTTGAAACCACGATCTAAGATAGCTTCCTGCATTAGTATATTTTCTCCACTTGAATATACCCGTGATATCTTCAAAACCTCAAGGTGCGACCATTGTAATCCTCATTGTTGATAGCACAAAGCTTCTCCATCCAAAAGACCTGATTTGTCAAATTTATCATAGAATCAAGTATGACATTGTAATACCATGAGTGTGACGTAGCGTGACGTGTAATCAGGGATTTGTCACCTGAGACAAAAATAAGAAATACGTGAGATGACATTTTTGCAATGCCAATCTTTAAGAGGCATACAAATATAGATGGTTTAGAACTAGACATTGAAGCGAGTGATGTAACATTCTTTCCTTTCTTATGCGACACGTTATACACAACAG